TTTATGGGCTCCCGAAGGCGACGTGCCAGACGACGTGCCAGGCGACGTCAGGCATTTGGTTGGCGCAGAAATAGATGGTGTCGTTTGCCACCCCGGAAACCCTCCGCTGCGGCTGCATTCTGCCCAGCACACCTCAGCACGAGCCTTGGGACGGAGCCGCTGGCACACAGATTGGCGGAGCCTTGGGAGTGAGCCTCTGGCAATGCCAGGCAACTGTTTTATGGGCTCCCGAAGGCGACGTGCCAGACGACGTGCCAGCCGACGTCAGGCATTTTGGTTCGCTGCACCCCCCCGCTGTTGTGGGCAGAAATAGATGGTGTCGTTTGCCACCCCCAGAAACCCTCCGCTGCGGCTGCATTCTGCCTACACGCACACCTCAGCCGGCAGCCTTGGGACGGAGCCGCTGGCACACAGATTGCCGGAGCCTTGGAGTGAGCCTCTGGCAACGCCAGGCAACTGTTTTATGGGCTCCCGAAGACGACGTGCCAGGCATTTTGGTTGGCTGCACTCCCCCCCCGTTCCGACCGCTGTTGTGGGTAGAAATTAATGGTGTCGTTTGCAACCCCCGAAACCTCCGCTTCGGCTGCACGCACACCTCAGCCGGGAGCCTTGGGACGGAGCTGCTGGCACACAGATTGCCGGAGCCTTGGGAGTGAGCCTCTGGCAATCTAGGGCCAAGATGCGCACCAGACTTTGCTCAATACAGGCCCCACCAAGGCCAACATAGGCGTGACATACGCCCCACAGACCCAAGTGGGCCGGCGCCCGGCTGTTAGGCGTAATCCGGGCACCGGCCACGCGCACGTTCCCTTGCCGGAGGCCTTCGGTTGGTAACCGAAGGTTATATACGCTCGCCCCTGCCGCCGACCCTTTTGGTGGACCTCGGGGAGAATCCGGTCGACCCCCGCCCTACCCCCGCCCGACCCCCGGCCGACCCCCGCCCGAATCCGGTCGACAGATTTATGTGTCTTTACCAGGCTTTTTGCGCAGGGTGTTCAAAAATATTGTTTTTTACCGTGTTTCGTGGCCTTCGGCGGCCACGACTTTCGCCCAACAGGGCGGCGGTGGCGTCGGTTACGCGCGCCGCGCGGACAGGCTTAATCGACATTTCGTGGGTGTTGGGCACGCGCCAACAGCAAAGGCGGAACATGTGCTCCAAGATGATCTGACAGAGGCCCTCAAGAGGACCCAACATAGTCCCAGATATGGCACACATAGCCGCAAGATGACCCGACCTAGGTCTCAGATATGGGAAACATAGCCCCTAGATGGGCCAAGACTGCCTCAAGATGTGGCAACATAGGCCTCACACAGTCTCAAAGAGAGAAAGAGAGAGAGAGAGAGAGAGAGAGAGAGAGAGGGAGGGAGAGGGAGAGGGAGAGGGAGAGGGAGAGGGAGAGGG